AATGGGAGTGCAGACACTCTCTTGTGTACACGTCACTAGCACGTGACCCCCTTCACAAGCACACAAACACACCAATCTGACACACACCACCAACAATCTGACACACACCACCAACAATCTGACACACACCACCAACAATCTAACACACACCACCAACAATCTAACACACCACCAACAATCTAACACACATCACCAACAATCTAACACGCACCACCAACAATCTAACACACCACCAACAATCTAACACGCACCACCAACAATCAAACACACACCACCAACAAACTCACACACACCACCAACAATCTAACACGCACCACCAACAATCTAACACGCACCACCAACAATCTAACACGCACCACCAACAATCTAACACGCACCACCAACAATCTAACACGCACCACCAACAATCTAACACACACCACCAACAATCTAACACACACCACCAACAATCTAACACACACCACCAACAATCTTACACGCACCACCAACAATCTAACACACCACCAACAATCTAACACACACCACCAACAATCTAACACACCACCAACAATCTAACACACATCACCAACAATCTAACACGCACCACCAACAATCTAACACACCACTAACAATCTAACACGCACCACCAACAATCTAACACACCACCAACAATCTAACACACCACCAACAATCTTACACGCACCACCAACAATCTAACACACCACCAACAATCTAACACACACCACCAACAATCTAACACACCACCAACAATCTAACACACATCACCAACAATCTAACACGCACCACCAACAATCTAACACACCACTAACAATCTAACACGCACCACCAACAATCTAACACACCACCAACAATCTAACACACCACCAACAATCTTACACGCACCACCAACAATCTAACACACACACACCGTGCTACAGACCCAGCAGTGAGTCAGTGAGTGGCTTCACGCTGTACCCGAATGGGTGCGTCAGAAACGTTTGGACCGTTCTACAACCAACAACCACAACGACAACCACAACCAACAACGACAACCAGCAACGACAACACCAGCATACAAGGACAACCAACAGACTGATCCAGCTCAAAATGTTGCCGACCCTAGATAAGCACCAGTGGACAGCACACACACACACACACGGATTAGCAAGATAGCCTGACCAAGCTGGTCAGTACACTACTGAGCTGGATTAGCCAGGTCGCCTAGACTTAAGCAAACACTCGCGTCTAGCAGGGTGTTCTGGATAGTTCCCTTTTTTGCCGTGACGTCACATGTAGGGTGTGGGGGGGGGCGTCACATGTAGTATGTGGGGGGCGTCACATGTAGGGTGGGGAGGGCGTCACATGTAGGGTGGGGAAGGCGTCACATGTAGGGTGGGGAAGGCGTCACATGTAGGGTGGGGAAGGCGTCACATGTAGGGTGGGGAGGGCGTCACATGTAGGGTGTGGGGGGCGTCACATGTAGGGTGTGGGGGGCGTCACATGTAGGGTGTGGGGGGCGTCACATGTAGGGTGTGGGGGGCGTCACATGTAGGGTGGGGAAGGCGTCACATGTAGGGTGTGGGGGGCGTCACATGTAGGGTGGGGAGGGCGTCACATGTAGGGTGGGGAAGGCGTCACATGTAGGGTGTGGGGGGCGTCACATGTAGGGTGGGGAGGGCGTCACATGTAGGGTGGGGAGGCATCAGATGAAGTGTTGGAGTGGCACCAAGTAGAAAAAATATACTGAGTTCTAATGGGTCGTATAAATGTGAACTAAACTGGTAAACACTGACAACAAAAGGAAACACTGACAACAAAAGGTGGCTACATTAAAACAAGTTACTGTTTTAACTAACGTGTAGCAATTCCATGGCTAAATGTTAAGGGACCACTCCTGGGGGAATGGCTAAATGTTAAAGGACCACTTTGGGGGGAATAGCTAAATGTTAAAGGACCACTTCTGGGGGAATGGCTAAATGTTAAAGGACCACTTTGGGGGGAATGGCTAAATGTTAAAGGACCACTTCTGGGGGAATGGCTAAATGTTAAAGGACCACTTTGGGGGGAATGGCTAAATGTTAAAGGACCACTTCTAGGGGAATGGCTAAATGTTAAAGGACCACTTTGGGGGGAATGGCTAAATGTTAAAGGACCACTTCTAGGGGAATGGCTAAATGTTAAAGGACAACGTTGGGGGGAATGGCTAAATGTTAAAGGACCACTTCTGGGGGAATGGCTAATGCCTACAGCTACACAGAAACTAATGCCTACAGCTACACAGAAACTAATGCCTAAGGCTACACAGAAACTAATGCCTAAGGCTACACAGAAACTAATGCCTAAGGCTACACAGAAACTAATGCCTACAGCTAAACTAATGCTTACAACTACACAGAAACTAATGCCAACAGCTACACAGAAACTAATGCCTACAGCTACACAGAAACTAATGGCTACAGCTACACAGAAACTAATGGCTACAGCTACACAGAAACTAATGGCTACATCTACACAGAAACTAATGCCTACAGCTACACAGAAACTAATGCCTACAACTACACAGAAACTAATGCCTACAACTACACAGAAACTAATGCCTACAGCTAAACTAATGCTTACAGCTACACAGAAATTAATGCCTACAGCTACACATAAACTAATGCCTACAGCTACACATAAACTAATGCCTACAGCTAAACTAATGCTTACAACTACACAGAAACTAATGCTACAGCTACACAGAAACTAATGCCTACAGCTATACAGAAACTAATGGCTACAGCTACACAGAAACTAATGGCTACATCTACACAGAAACTAATGCCTACAGCTACACAGAAACTAATGCCTACAACTACACAGAAACTAATGCCTACAACTACACAGAAACTAATGCCTACAGCTAAACTAATGCTTACAGCTACACAGAAATTAATGCCTACAGCTACACATAAACTAATGCCTACAGCTACACAGAAACTAATGCCTACAGCTACACAGAAACTAATGCCTACAGCTACACAGAAACTAATGCCTACAGCTACACAGAAACTAATGCCTACTGCTAAATAGACCTCAAACATCAGAGACTGAAATGAATAAGACACTTGTCACAATCTCCACTGCATATAGCTTGCAGTAAAACCTGTCCATAAAACCTTCATTACTTTAGTTCTAGAGATCTGACCATCACAATAAAACCTTCATTACTTTAGTTCTAGAGATCTGACCATCACAATATCTATAAAACCTTCATTACTTTAGTTCTAGAGATCTGACCATCGTAATAAGTCTATAAAACCTTTACATATGTTCATGGAGCAAGTGAATTAAAGTCCACCTGTTTCTGTGACCTCTGGATAGTGTGGTCATCAATATGCCCTGCTGCCTTTACTTTCCTTAACGTGAGTCAGGTACCCTTTTGAGCTGGATGGACTCAGGAAAATTCTATGGACTTAAACCTGGACTTTTGTTAGCATTCTTATGTTCTACCATTTGACCATTCTGTCCCATAGGCTGTGGGAGTATGGAATACATAAACCAACCAGCAGCCTGTCGGGGGGGGGGGGTGCTAATGGACCAAATCTTACTTTCAAACTTGCATATTTTATGCCACTACTGTGAATTAATATAACTAATGCTGTCTATCACTAACCCAAGTCTTAAATACAAAACTAACATAACAATATTGATGTCAACACAGTAACTGCCAAATATAAGCTAGAGGTAAAAATTGGAGCTTAACTAGAAATATAGGCTAGAGGTATTATGTGAGATAAGCTGTACAAATATAGTGTAGAGGAAAAATTTGGACTTAACAGTAGTAGTAGGGATAGCTGTAATTAACTAAATACTAATGAGCAGTTACCAATTATATTTAGGCCTATCAAAAAATATCTGTTAATAGGGGGACATTGGGTGCCTTAAATTGTGCTCTTTATTCAAACCTGCCATGACTTAAATCTTACTGAGTGTCTCAAGCTAAACATCCTCATAGGCTTAGGTTATACAACAGTCAATAATACAGTTACCTATACAGTAGGCCTATACAGTTAGTATACAGTATACTGACTGGACTGGAATGGCCTTGAAAATTTCTGTACAAGTATAGTTTAGTCAACAAGTCACTGTAAGAACTTAAAATAGATCCTTCAGGAATATAGTAATTTACACTGGTAACAAAGGGGTCTTTGTATTCACCTCTTCAGTAAGAATCTCCACATAACACCTCCGTATAAATAGTGAAAGAATCCGCTTGAATTTTGTGGTGACAACCAAGTTCAAACTAGGCCAACGGGCTACCACTGACTAACCAAAATTGAGGTCAACTCACTAGAAAGCGACAGTGAGTCAATGCCATCAGATCACAACACACACACGGTGGTGTGCTATCGCAAACCTGTCTAAAACATGAGCTGCACTGTAAAACAGAATACGACACACACAAAGCAGGCCGATGTTCACAGGACAGATGTCTTCAGTTTGCCTTCACGGTTAGCCGATCGCACCAATCGCATGTTCGTCTGCTGACCATTACCACAGCAGATGTTAGGGCCCACCCTACCCAATCCACGGTGTCTTCTACAATAATAGATTGGATTGTCCTGGCCAAGGATCGAGCCAGGTCAGGGATGTGAGACGGTGTGAAACTGGAGTGGGGTTCGCTGCTTCAGTCACACATTTGGTTGCATGTAAACAATGAATCGCACACTGACACAATGAACTGCACACAGGGAACACGGCAGTACTTAAAAACACCAACGATCATCTTCATAAGCCTGAATTCGCCAAGTTAGCCTAGATAAAGTTTGTTGTATACTTCTGTAAAGCGCTAGGACAGAAGCACAGCACAGGGGATTTTAAAAAGGGAAAAAACTGGGCTAAGGCTATGCCCTACGTCATTACCAGCGCCAAGCGCCGTGCTAGACTAGCAGAAGACGGGAATCTTCAAAGAGGCGACTAGTTAAAACGTTTTTAATCATTAGCTAAAGAAACGTGAAAGTAGATAAAAGTATACTTACATGCGTCAAAAAATGGGGAAATAAGTTGTAAAGTTGTTGTAAGACTAAACCAGTGTGTAGCTGACCTGGATGCCGCGACGTGCGGTCAGCACTGTCTCTGGGCCCGCCATCATCGTGGCTCTGTAATGTGTGTCAAGGTTTTTGCATTGCGCATGGACTGGCGGTGCAAACGAACAGTGTGGGCTTGATTTTACACACCGGATTATTTTCTGTTCGAAACTTGCCTTCCCCAAATAGGCGAGTCACTAGATCTATAAATGAATGCAGTATAATCCGCAACATTTAAACGGGAAAATTTCTTTAAATTCTATGCCACATTTAAAAACATGGCACCCGACTTTGTGTTGTGCGAAATTAGTTTTAACTTGACCTAAGGAAGATCACATCCTATTTAGAAGTAGATTTAGATCTATAAATTTTAAACAGGCTATACGAATTTTTGTAAGGGTAGCAGAGTTTCTTCCAGGCATCTATTCGGGGGGGGGGGGGGGACACCTGCAATTTTTTTGTCTTGGTGTCACCCCCCCCCCTAAATGTTGTCACCCGGTGCGGTACGGCCCCTGCCCCCCACCCAACCACTAATCCCACAGCCTTAAAAAGAGCAGTCATCCTCCCCCCCCCCCATCCATAATTCTAACGAACTTTTTATTGTTCTTAAGAAATAAGGAGTAGTGTTGCATACTATATCACACATTTCACATTTATGTGTGTGATTAAACCCCCTCACCAAATGTGTGTGCTTGAACCCCCTCACCAAATGTGTGTGCTTGAACCCTCTCACCAAATGTGTGTGCTTGAACCCCCTCACCAAATGTGTGTGCTTGAACCCCCTCACCAAATGTGTGTAATTGAAGCCTCTCACCAAATGTGTGTGATTGAACCTCCTCACCAAATGTGTGTGATTGAACCCCCTCACCAAATGTGTGTGATTGAGCCCCCTCACCAAATGTGTGTGATTGAAGCCCCTCACCAAATGTGTGTGATTGAACCCCCTCACCAAATGTGTGTGCTTGAACCCCCTCACCAAATGTGTGTAATTGAAGCCTCTCACCAAATGTGTGTGATTGAAGCCCCTCACCAAATGTGTGTGATTGAACCCCCTCACCAAATGTGTGTGATTGAACCACCTCAACTTATATCTTTTTACATGCCAGCATAATTCCACCCCCCCCCCCCACCCAACTATAAAACTTTTGTGATTAATCCATCGTTGGCATCTATGAGGTGGAATCAGAACGTATTCCGGTGTGCGGAATTTTGTCATTTACTGCAGGTTACACTACACTACTATTGTAGCAATTTTTAACGGGAACATTGTATCATCGACACCGCCTGATCTAAAAACTAGGCCAGGGTGATTGTGACCCCGAGTTGCGGGCAATGGCCATAAAGATCTGACAGTGCGGGAGCGAAAGGAAGCGACGGCGGGGTGCAGGGAGCGGCGCGGTGGAAGCGAGAAGTCTAGTGCGTGGGGGATGAGTCGGCATCTTACGACTGGCGTGCAGATTCGATCCCTCTAGACCTCGGCTGACATGGAAGGAGCAGCCGTGACGTTGTGGGTTCTTCTGCCTGGAATAGGGGCTTGACAGTTAGTGGGGGGGGGGGGGGGGGGGTGAGGGCTGTATGGGACTGGGGCTCGACAGACAAGCCCCCCCCCCCCCCCGCATGGACAACCCGGCTCGATATTACATAAGATGGTCGTGTATGGAGGGGGTGGGGGATAAGGACCCATTACAAGGGACTCGACGGTTTAGTCTTAAGAGAAACCCCTCCCCTTCTCATCGCCTTTGAATTTTTTTCCCAAAACATCTGAGGGACTGGGATCAGCTATAGTTGTATTACACACTTTAAAAAAAAAATCAAGTGACGTCGAACTTTCTAAATTCCGTCACACAACGTCACCAAAGGTCACCTCACCCCCAAAGTGTGACGTCATTTTTGACGACCTTGAACCCCTTGTTGACCTTCCTGGTAAAACGTTGGTTGACTTTTAATTAAATACTTTTATTAAAACAAAAGAATGATGCCATGAAATATTAACGAAGGAGCCTCTGACGCGCCAATAATCTCGACACACACACGTCACTACAGCACGAGAAACAAATGGTTGACCTTTGAACTCTAGCAATGTACCGGCAGTTCATCTAGTGGCCCACTGAAAGAATCCTCTTTAGACCTAATGATCCATTGGGCAGATGAAGTAGAGTTCAGAGTTTCCTTGACCTCGGCAAATAAAGGGATGGTGTGGTTAGCACTATGCCCAGCCGCATTTACTTTCTCCATCGTAAGTCAGGTACCGAACCGTGATCCCCAGGCTAGCAGCCAAAGCACTACCATTTGACCACGCCGCCCCCTACAGTTCGTGTGTTGGCCCTTATATTGTAACGACGTTCGACGATTTACTGTAGCAGTTCATTTGTTAGCTACCATATCTTAAATAATTATCATTAAAAAAGTTTAAAAAAAAAACCCACGTTTTCTGATTGAACTAAAAAGTAGAAAATAAATACTATACATCACAATAATGCAAGCGATCACTCTACTATAAGCGATGAAAAACGTGGGGCGCCGAAGTAAAAGTTTTTTATCGGTCATTGTTAATATAAGTTGATTAGATAATACTATTGACTTTTATTAGGGAGCTTGTAGAGAGTCAACAGTATTAGAAACTGTAAGAAAATCACGGCGCCCCACGTTTTTCATCAAATTACAATTACTGGGTTATGTCCCCTTTTCCCACGCTTTTTGTACAAATATATAGTAGGTCTAAAATGATCAATAAAATGTTTCCATGGATCAATTTAGTAATAATAACAATTGAATATTCTATTGTCATCGGAAACAAAGTTTCCTTGAAAATTTCAGCGCGCTAGCTAACTGGGAAGTGCCCGAAATTTCGATCGCAAGATTTGATTGGAGAACCAAACAAACAAACAGACGCGAAAGCAAGTTAAAGAAAACGTGGGAAAATACACCCCTTCCCCCAAATACACCCCTTCCCCCAAATACACCCCTTCCCCCAAATACACCCTTTCCCAAAATACAACCCTTTCCCCAAATACACCCCTTCCCTCAAATACACCCCTTCCCCCAAATGTCAAGAAATTTAAGTAAAAATAATCGACGTTGGAGACTAATAGATCGGTACGGAAATTTATATAGCACCGGCTAGGTAAAGCACCTGTAGATACGGCACCACCGACTAGATACAGCACCGGTTAGATACAGACAGCACCGGTTAGATACAGACAGCACCGGTTAGATACTGCACCGGTTAGATACAGCACCGGTTAGATACAGCACCGGTTAGGTACAGCACCGGTTAGATACAGTTAGATACAGCACCGGTTAGATACAGCACTGGCTAGATACAGCACAGGTTAGATACAGACAGCACCGGTTAGATACAGCACCGGTTAGGTACAGCACCGGTTAGGTACAGCACCGAGTCTAAGGCCAATTGGGCCGATATCCTGTGGTCTAGTGTGTTTTTGGAGTAACATCCTGTATGTGGCCATCCATTTAACACTCAGCACATCCTGTCTATGACCGTCCATCACCTTGAATTTAGCACTCAGCACATCATGTCTATGGCCGTCCATTTAGAACTCAGCACATCCTGTTTGTGGCCGTCCATTTAGCACTCAGCACATACTGTCTGTGCCCGTCCATTTAGCACTCAGCACATCCTGTAAGTGGCCGTCCATTTAGCACTCAGCACATCCTATCTGTGGCCGTCCATTTAGCACTCAGCACATCCTGTCTGTGGCCGTCTATTTAGCACTCAGCACATCCTGTCTATGGCTGTACATTTAGCACTCAGCACATCCTGTATGTGGCCGTCCATTTTACACTCAGCACATCCTGTCTATGACCGTCCATCGCCTTGAAATTAGCACTCAGCACATCCTGTCTATGGCCGTCCATCAGAGCCTGTGTTCACAAAACTTCAGGGAATTCCCGGACGCATTTTTTTTTGCAAAAAAATTTTGTTGGAGCTACAGCACAGGGCTTAGCTCAGGGCTTAGCTCAGGGCTTAGCTCAGGTAATGTTTTATCCTAAATCAGCGGGAGTTTAACACTAGCGGGCTGAGGATCTGGGAGGTTTAACAATGGGTTTCCATAACCCCACTTCTTCACCCCACAACCCCTGCACTTCACGCACCCCACAAACCTTGCGCTAAACCCCCACAACCCCTGCACTAAACCCCCACAACCCCTGCACTAAACCCCCACAACCCCTGCACCAAACCCCCACAACCCCTGCACTAAACCCCCACAACCCCTGCATTAAGCCCCCACAACCCCTGCATTAAGCCCCCACAACCCCTGCACTAAACTCCCACAACCCCTGCACTAAACCCCCACAACCCCTGCACTAAACCCCCACAACCCCTGCACTAAACCCCCACAACCCCTGCACTAAACCCCCACAACCCCCACACTTCCTGCACTAAACCCCCACAACCCCTGCACAAAACCCCCACAACCCCTGCACTAAACCCCCACAACCCCCACACTTCCTGCACTAAACCCCCACAACCCCTGCACTAAACCCCCACAACCCCCACACTTCCTGCACTAAACCCCCACAACCCCCACACTTCCTGCACTAAACCCCCACAACCCCTGCACTAAACCCCCACAACCCCCACACTTCCTGCACTAAACCCCCACAACCCCCACACTTCCTGCACTAAACCCCCACAACCCCTGCGCTAAACCCCCACAACCCCTGCGCTAAACCCCCACAACCCCTGCACAAAACCCCCACAACCCCCACACTTCCTGCAACGGTTTTGACAGCTGAGCTAAGACGTGTCCCGTGTTGTGAAAGCAGATTTGCAGTAATCTGTGTGAAGGGTGGGGGTAGGGGTGGGGGGGGGGGAATGGTGGCCTTAACAACATCTGCAGGCAACAGTTTTGAGGAATTCTTGCACGGAACAATGTCAGAGAACAATTTCAGGGAACAATGTCAGGGAACCATTGATGCCGAGCCGCCGATTTAAAAAGACAGGAAGAAGTGGAACCACTGTGATCAGGGTTGGGTTGGGTTGGACCGCTAGGTGTGTGGTTTAAATAAGCCAAGGGAGCTTGTGTGTCCTGCTTGTATGTCCTGT